TCACCCTTAAATAGGCAACAATCCTAACATCACAAGGACTAGAATTTCTAATTAAACAAGTCCAAATGAACCACTACAACTATGGACCACCACCTTGTCCTCAAGGTTGCAAAACAGCTCCCCATAAACATCAGCCAACTCATCAACATCCGCCTAAGATGTCTCTTCCAAGGGTAAGCCATGCCACTGAACCAAGACCTGTTGGATTGCCTCTCCATTTTGTTGCAGCACGCAGCGATCCACAACAGCCAAAGGAGTGACATGAGGGAGGCCACTAGCATCAAAAGGGGGTAATGGAACACCAGCAGTCTATGGCACCCCAACGCAAGGTTTTAGAAGAGAAACATGAAATACCGAGTGCAACTTCGAGTCTATAGGCAACTGGAGCTTGTAAGCAAGCAACCCAACATGTTTTAGGACCTGATATAGACCATAGAAGCGACGCCCCAATTTTGTAAAAGCACCACCACAAATCGATTGTTGCCGATAAGGTTGCAACCACACATAAACATAGTTACCCTTATTAAACTCAATCGGCCGATGGTGCCGACTGGCTATTGCACCATTTGCTGCTGAGCACGACACTAATTTTCCTTCAGAGCACGTAATAGGGCATCCCTCCTAACAAGCTCAGCATCCACAACCTCTAATTTAGATGTGCCCAGATTATACGGCAGAAGCACAGGTGGGTCTCTACCATAAACCAACTTAAAAGGAAAAGTACCAGCAGCTATATGAAAAGATGTATTGCAGAAATACTCCGCCCAGGGCAAAAATTCAGACCCTTTGTTAGGCTGATCCATAACAAAGCAACGGAGGTATTGCTCCAATGTTCGATTTGTAACCTCCCTTTGGCCATTAGTTTGTGGATGGTATGTCATGATACTATGGCGAAGGGTAGTGCCACTTCGAGTGAATAACTCTTGCCAGAAAGAACTCATAAAAACGGGGTCGCAATCATTGATAATGGACTTGGGTAACCCATGAAGCTTATATACCATGTGCACAAATAAAGCAGCCACTTTTGCACCCAAAATGGGTGTACTTTGTTAAGCGATCTATGACCACCAAGATTATCGAATGTCCCGCTGAAATTGGAAGCCCTGTGATAAAGTCCATAGCTACTTCTTCCCATATCAATGCTAGAATTGGCAATGGTTGCAGTAAACCCGCTGGAGAGCGCGTCTCATATTTCCCTTGCCGGCAAATTTGACACTTATTCACAAAGGAAGTGACATCCTTCACTAAGCTACGCCAATAAAATTCAAGATGACTCTACCCAAGGTTTTGCGAATGCCGCCATGGCCAGCCACCGGGGAAGAATGACATTCTTCAATAATTTGTTGCGTAACCCATCATCCTGCGGCACCACCAATCCTTATAAAATAGTAAGGAATCATGCATTGAATACCCACCAGCCATAGTTGGATTTTCCTGAACTTCCTTAATCAACTTGACACACTTATCGTCTTATTTTAGAGCCTCTCGTCGTTGCTGCAGAATATCAAAAACTAGTGTAGAAAGTGTTCACATTGCAAGGGACGAAGCCTCTCTAACATTCTTTTCTGTGTCCTCCGTGTCATCGTGACTACGTGATAGAGCATCAGCTACCAAATTTTCTTTCCCTGGTTTATAATGCACTGTGAAGTCATGTCCTAATAATTTGATGAGATACACATGCTACTCAAGAGTTTGAATCACTTGTGTCAGTAAATTTCGTTAGCTTTGCTGGCCAGTGCGGATTACAAATTTGCGACCTAAGAGATATTGCTGCCATCGCATTACGGCCTCCGTGACAGCATATAACTCTTTAACATAAGCCGAAGCTCGCTGCAACCTTGGTGTCAACTTTTTACTAAATAAAGCAATGGGGTGGGACTCCTGCATCAATACCGCACCAACCCCTGTACCCGAAGCATCAGTTTCCACAACAAATAAATCTAAAAAATTTGGTAATGTTAGGATCGGCGTTATGGACATTGCAGTTTTCAACTTTTCAAATGCCGCTTGAGCCTCTAGGGACCAATTAAATTTGTCCTTCTGAAGAAGGTTTGTGAGTGGCGTAGTGATGGAAGAATATCCCTGGACGAAGCGACGGTAATATCCCGTCAAACCGAAAAACCCTCTCAAATTTTTCACACTCCTCGGGGTAGGCCAGTCCATCATCGCCTTAATTTTAGAAAGATTCAGTTCGACTCCCTTCCCTAAGACAATATGTCCTAAATATTCTAGTCGAGTAGCTCTAAACAAACATTTTTCCTGTTTGGCAACCAAATTATTCTCTCGCAAGCATTGGAGGGCTATGGATAAGTGACACTCATGTTCGGTCACATTGCGATTATACACCAGGATATCGTCAAAATAATAATAATAATAAATTTCCGCAGAAAAGACCAAAAAAACGTGATTCATTGTGCTCTGAAAGGTTGTTAGAGCATTCATGAGTTTGAAAGGCATAATCACAAACTTATAATAACTATCATGAGTTTGAAACACTGTTTTATAGATGTCGCACTCATCCATTCGAATCTGATGATAGCCTGAACTTAAATCGATCTTGGAAAAAAAATATTGGCATCATAAAGTTCATCCAAGAGTTCATCCACCGTGGGAATGGGGAATTTATTCGGAATGGTAATCTTATTTAAGGCGCGATAATCCATGCAAAAATGCCAAAAACCATTCCTCTTCTTAACTAATAGTACTGACGAAGAGAATGGACTGCGGCTTGGTTGAACCAACCCACTACCTAACATCTCAACGACAACACTAATATTAGAACTCAAGCCCAAGGGAGAGCCCAACCCAAAAGACCGGCCTGATAGGTGGGAGAGCCCCTACACTTAAGTACCACATTTGGTAGATCTGAGATGCCGATGTGGGATCCTAACATTGCACCCCCCTTCAAAAGCCGATGCCCACAATGACTTTCACTCTATGACATTGTCTCGACGGTAGCCTTTTCCCCATTTGAGCAGCTTCACTCACCTATCAGTTATTCGATGCAACACCCCCTCCCAAGGAGAGCACACTGCACCTTAATTTAACTTATAGGTAGCCCTTTCCGCAGACCAACTCTCAACGAAAGCACCAATTGATAAATATCAGATCTGTTTTATGTGAGGGAACAGTACCTCCAGAATAATAGACAAGAGGAAGTTTTGGATAATTCTTCAATACCTTTTATTAAATAATCTCACCCTTAAATAAGCAACAATCCTAACATCACAAGGGCTAGAATTCCCAATTAAACAAGTCCAAATAAACCACCACACCAATGGTACTGACAACCAACCAAAACCAAACTCTAATTACTCAATTGAAAACAACTATCACTTAAACTAAACAACCAAATTAGGCATGGCAATGGGGTGGGGTGGGGCGAGGATCTCATTCATCGTACCCATCCCCACCCTCAAAATCATTCCCCACCCCCGCCCCATCCCCGTTACGGGGATGACAAGAATTCCCCTTCCCCTCCCCAAAGGAGAATGTTGGAGGCCCGTCCCCGCCCCGTTAATTTTATATAAACATAAATTAATTTGAGCATTACCAAACATAATAGTTAATTCTTGTCCACATGACAAACACTTAAATTAATCGTTTAAACATAATTAATTATACATAAATATGGGCCNCCACAACGACTTTCACTCTATCGACATTGATCTGACGGTAGCCTTTTCTCCCTTTTAAGCGGCTTCACTCACCTATCAGTTATTTGATGCAACACCCCCCTCCCAGGGAGAGCACACTGCACCTTAATCTAACCTATAGGTAGCCCTTTCCGCAGCCTAACTCTCAACGAAAGCGCCAATGGATAAATATCATATCTGTTTTATGTGAGGGAACAGTACCTCCAGAATAATAGACAAGAGGAAGTTTTGGATAATTCTTCAATACCTTTTATTAAATAATCTCACCCTTAAATAGGCAACAATCCTAACATCACAAGGGCTAGAATTCCCAATTAAACAAGTCCAAATAAACCACCACACCAATGGTACTGACAACCAACCAAAACCAAACTCTAATTACTCAATTGAAAAGAACTATCACTTAAACTAAACAACCAAATATACTAAATAACTGTGATTAAGCAACGTAATCTCTTGACCACTTCGGCGGCTGCCTGTTTCTCTTAGGAAGATTGTCTGAACTCTTAACATAAACACACATAAATAACATATATGAAATTAATTAAATTAATTTGAAATTAATTAAATTAATTTAAAATTAATTTTTTAAAGCATATAATTCAAATCAATAATATTTTACTTATAACTAAGTTATATAACCAGACAATTGCTCAATTCAAACACTTTTATTGTCAAACTTCTTTCAACTTTGTTAGAGTCAAACTTCTTTCAACTCGGTTGAAAACCAGTTGATTGATATGAAAAACAATATACAAGGAAACTCAAAATCTATACACAATTAATTTTTAAATATATATGAAGAATAAAAAATAAATTATCTTTTAGGTTTTGATAAACTATAAGAAACAAGAGTCAAACAAGGTTTTAATGATTTTTTTCTCTTAAAATTATTATTTATAGAAGTTTTAAATATAGTTATTTTCACAAATTTTTTATTTTTAGTGTCTATTTTTGAGTAAGGGTCAAATAACAACACTTTATAATAATAATACTAGTATCACAAACATCTCTCACTAACTCATGTGATAACTCGTAATTGGTTTGGTCAGATAGGATCTATTGTTGGGTAAATAAGACTTATATAAATTGACTAATTATAAACTGATTCGTCACATTTGTAAGAGAAAATTAAAGAGAAATGTTTGCTAGTATAATATTACTTTACTTTATAATATTCTCCCGATTGAATCGCAAATATATTGTTTCGCCGAGATACAGATTAAGGGGTCAGTGGGCCGTGGGCTGGGTCCAGTACTATAAATTCCGGCCTTAAAAACTCTCTTGTTTTTCTGGCAAATTCTCTCTGCCTTAAACCGAATTCTAATCTAATGGAACATAAAAAACAAAGAAACAGAAAGTTTTTCTGATCACGATTTCGAATTGGTAAAGTTTTTGTGTTTGAAGAAGAATGAATTGTAATTTAAAATTTTGCGAGCTCAATTTAGGGATTTAATCGTTCACAATCATGTGGTTTCCCTTCTGGAGATCCAGAGATCGATTCTCCTTGGAAGAACTCAGGTTTCGTTTCTTAATTTTTGATCTATTTTTATTCAGTTCTATCTTCAAAATTGAAGCCAAATTGCGGAACAAAATTTTTAATTTACTTAGAGTTTTATGGATCCTCTCTTTTTGATTTATTTGAGGTGAATTATTGTGCAGATATTTAACTGATCAGCTGCAGAAAGTTCAAATTGTTAATCAGGTTAACAAGGTGAGAAAATTTTATTTCATTACTTGTAATTTAGTCGTTTTTCTATGTTTTTAATGTGCTCAAGTTGTATTATTTTGTGAAGGATTTTGTTATCGAGGCTTTGAGATCAATTGCGGAGTTGTTAACATACGGGGACCAGCATGACTCGGCTTTTTTCGAGTGGGACTTCTCTATGGTTATTGTATATTGATGTTTATGTTTTGTTTTTTGCAATTTATGAGATGTTTATTATGTGTAGATTTTTCATGGAGAAGCAAGTCATGGGGGAGTTTGTTCGTATACTAAAAGTTAGCAGAACTGTGACTGTTTCACTTCAATTATTGCAGACAATGAGCATTATGATCCAGAATTTAAAGAATGAACATGCTATTTGTGAGTTGGTTCTTTAAGGAAGAATCTATTTACGTGTGGATACTTTAGTTCCTTCATGAATTTAATGGTTTATCATGTGGAAATTTTTGCAGATTACATGTTTAGTAATGAACATATCAATTACTTAATTACGTATTCATTTGACTTCCGCAATGAAGAGCTGTTGTCATACTACATATCTTTTTTAAGGTTTGCTTAACTAACTCTTATGTGGTGATTATACATTTTATTTGTTTACATTTTGTTTATCTTGACTGTTACAGTTTTTGGCCTTGTTATGCTGACTGTGTTGTCCACTGGCATGCATTGTGTTTATGGCAGAGCAACAAGTGGAAAGCTAAACAAGAATACAATATCTTTGCTTGTGAAGACTCAAAATGTAAGCTAAGCTATCTGCTTGTTTATGTATTGAATTTATTCCAAGATTAAATCCATTCAAAATCTGGATGAAGTTAAGGTCAGATCATATTGTTTTCTTGGTCAAAACTGTTGAGTATTTGGCTGGCATCGCTGTAATAGTTTTTTATGTTGATTTATTGGGTATCCATTCAACTGAGTAGTACAGAGAGCGGCACACTTGAACACCCATTACTTTATTGAACGATAGTATTCCAAAATTGGCATCAAAGGAGGTCGTAGGTTTCCAACTTAGCAGTGCATAGCATATTTTCTAAGACAATTCTTTGGCCACAGTGAATGATCTTGTTATATTAGTATCACATTTCTTCCTCATCGCCTTTTCTATCTTTGGTATGATTATCTAAACTTTTGTTCGTCTAGGAGGAAGTAGTTTCTTTTCCACTGTATACTGAGGCAATACGGTTTGCTTTCCATGAAGAGAACATGGTTCGCACTGCAGTACGTGCCCTAACACTTAATGTATATCATGGTCAGTTGTTTTATGTCATTTCTTTTTTACTTCTTCTTTAATATTCTTTGAAAGGTTAATTTCATCTGCCCCTGTGAATTCGCTAAGTCTTAAGTGTCCCTTGAAACTAAAAACCTCCTTGAAAAATATCAAAAACCCTATTAAATATCAAAAAATTGCTGGGGCACTTGAGACTTAATGATCTGTCAGGTTGGTGAATGAAATTAACCTTTTTCTAAAATTTAATTATACTATAGTCTATCAAATTTAATAAACTGCAATTATACTATAGTCTATCAAATTTTATTCTCTGATGCCCTTACTGTTTTTTCAGTTGGAGATGAAAGTGTCAACCGATATATCACTAGTGCTCCACATGCAGATTATTTTTCAAATTTGATTTCATTTTTTGGGAAGCAGTGCAATGGTTTAAATAAATTAGTCTCACAAAGTCTTAAGTAAGAACTAGAAGTTTTGATCTTTTATCGACAATGAACGTAATGTGCTTATCTCCTAAACAAGTTTCATTTGGTTATTGAAACAGAAACCCATCCCCAGATTCAACGTCTATAATTCTTGCTGCTGTGGATGAAATTGAGGACAATCTTTACTATTTTAGTGATATTATTTCTGCTGGAATCCCTGACGTTGGAAAGTTAATAACAGATCACATGTTGCAACTTTTGATACTTCCATTGCTGCTCCCGTCTCTACGGATAAATGCTGTTGATGTATGCTTCTTTACTCTTTCTATGCTTCCTTTCCTTTATTTTTGATCTTTAATTATCTTCATTATGGACCTGTTTGCAAGTTTTTAACAGTATTTTAGTTTATATGCTTGCCACCTGTTCCTTTTTAACGTTTGTAGCTTGACAATCTAGGAAAATGGCATTGGTGCTGTCACTTGCTTGTATCTACTTTGTTGCATCTTGCGCATTGTTAAAATCAAAGATTTGTCAAACATGATTGCTGCTGCTCTTTTCTGCTCACCAGAAGCCTACATTCAGAATTTTGAAACTAAACAGAATGGGTATATGCCTGGTCATGATTTTGTTGGTGAAAGGCAACAGCAAGATAATAATTGTCAGACTGAAGTGGACACTGAAGATGCTATAAAGAAGAATAACTTTAGTTGTTCTGATTTGACTTTGAGGTAACATGTCATTGGTTATGTTGAATTTAAATGATCAGTTTCCATTACCTTTTGATTACAAGCTTAATGTGATTCATGTCTTTGGTGCCGATAGAATAGATACCCTCATAATAATGGTATGGTTTTACATAATCATCACCAAACTAGTTATTGACAATAGTTTGGGGTTTTTTTTATCTCTTAAAGTCACAAATAGCATTCTGGTTTATCAAACTTAGTCTTTACTTCTGGAAAGCTTCTATTCTTCACTGACATTGAGGATTTCAAATGCTTATATCTTGTGCTTGTGTTTTTATGATGGAAACTATGTGTTCTGGACTAATAGTTTTCATTTGATAGTTCTGCTATACTTGTACATAATTATGTGTTTCCTCTGTACTTTTTCTTTGCCTTCCAACTATAGATTTAATTCATAAAATAATATTTCTTTTACTGGCTAGTTGAGTAAAAGCTCAATGAATTTTGCTTTAAATTATTGGTGTGATTGGATGAATGTTGTGAGAAAAGTTTGAAACTACATACTCGTTTGCAACAAATTCATGTTTTAAATATTAGCTTCAAATATGTTTCAAATCTCATCTTCAATATTTATTGTTTTATGGATACTACTGATAAGGACCATGAGCATTAATGTAAAGGATGAGTTGTCAACCTAGTCAATTATGTTCACTAGTTTTGTTAACTTCTGTTCGAAGTTTCCTTGTCAGTCAAAAGAAGAAAGGGTGGTGGATATGACATCCTGAATTATTGATGTGATATCATCATCTTCCAACTAGTCACTTTTGGTCATATTGTTTTCTATTATTTGTTCGTTTTCATATTGTTTTTTGTTAGAACTTAAATAGTATTGTTAGGTACTTACCTACAGCTTAAGCTTTTTGGTTTAGTGGTAACATGTAATTTATTAAATGGGTTGTATTGGGTTTTGGAAAAAAACTGAGATTCTTTTAATTATGCCTTTTAAGGTCCCTGTCAAAGAGAAGAAGAGGGGGATGGGCGGGGAAAGATTTGTGGAGTTACCATTTAACAATTTTAATCATTACTCAATGCTTCTTTCCCAAATAAATTCTCTGTGCTGTCCAGGTTTTAATTTTTTTTAATTTTTTTAATTTTTTTAATTTTTTTAATTTTTTTAATTTTTTTAATTTTTTTAATTTTTTTAATTTTTTTAATTTTTTTAATTTTTTTGGGTAAGTTATTGAAAGTAGTTTGGCATTGGTCATTTTACTTATTATCAAAGGACAATTTCTTTCTTTATACAATCTCTTTTTCTTTGTTCTTATGATTGAACAATCCAGTTATTCTGTTCCACACTTTCTTTTGTTGAGTGTTAGCCCAAATTAAAGTTTTAATAACAAGAAGTCCTACTTTTTAGTATTAGTAAAGTTTTAATAACAAGAAGTCACTCTAGATAAATTAAGAGGTATTTAGTAATGTCAATTGAGAACCATAATTTGTGCTGTACTCTTGCTGCCTATAAATTACAACATACATTCCCTCTATCTCTTTCCACATAGTTTAATTCAATTTTATTTCGTTGCTGTTGATTAATATTTTTATTAACTAGTGCTTTTGTCAGCTCCTCCCCTCTCTCTTATCCTATTGCTTGTTTGTATGTTGATTGTTGTCATGGAGAGTTTTGTCTTTTATTCTCTTAATACCCAACTCATTTACTACTTTTGAGTAATGACAAGAATTATATTTTCCAGTTTACTCAACTTCTCTTGAATATGGTCAATTGCTATCAGCACTTCTTTCCTTTTAGTATCTTGTATGATCTTAACATTGACATATATATTGTGTAGGGAGGCTTTGCTTTCTTATATTACTAGTGGAGATGATGTACACGTGTTGGGTTCTCTGAGTGTGCTGGCAACATTATTGCAAACAAAAGGTTATATTATTGAATTTATTCATCTTACTTCACTCCTCTCTATTTTGGTTTTCTGATTTGGTATCTGCATTCATAGAATTGGATGAATCAATGCTAGATGCCCTTGGCATTCTTCCTCAGCGGAAACAACACAAGAAACTCTTGCTAGTAAGTTGTAGTGAAGATTAATCTATTCATTTTTTTCAACATATATGATCTGAATTGATATTATATTATGTACCAGACTTATAATTTCTTTGGTTTAAAGTAGAAAAAAAAAATAATTTGGTACTTTAGTGTTCTATTAATTGTTAGCTTAATAAGCGTTGACTTTATTACTTGTTCTTGAATAGATTCGAATGAGATATTATGCATGCATTGACAAAGGAGTTGTTTTTTGATAAAACTTACATTGAAATTAGAATCTAAGCCAAGGACTTATATATTTCTAATCCTATCTTGATATATGTGAATGAGTTAATTATAAGACTAAGAAGTAGTCAAAGACCAGTAATTTGTTTTTATGGTTCTGAAATTGAAGCTACCTATTTTATAAGAATCCTTGCTATTAAAATCAGTAAGTTGACCTTGCCAATTCCACCTTTTTCTCTTTGTTTGGGGGGTGGGGTTATGGGTGGGTAGGTAAATTTTAGATGCTAAAGCAGCATGCTAAGAGTAATTTATTTTATTATTATTATGGAAGATGTGTGATTTTGTTGGAAGAAAAGAAACATGGAATCACAAATCTTGAAAATAGCCTATAAAGAAGGTAAGTATAAAGCAAGTCAAAATCTATTGTCTTACCAGTGGAAGTTTGCAAATTATGTAGTAATTGCAACATGCTTATAGACGAACATATTTAGAACTAAATTAGGCAATTATCCTGAAGCATGAAGAAGTATTGGTTGAAGAAACTTTCTAGTCTTGAGAAACATTTTATTTTTGTGAAACATTTGGAATACCAAGCATTACAAACTCCAGATGCCATATTGGGTAGAAATGGCTTTGCTTTTCGGTTTATAAGGCTAGGTAAGCAACATCATCTGTTAGGCTAATCTTTTGGCAAGTGCAAAAGTAGTATCAAAGTACGCCCAGGTGTTCACATGCTGTGTAGGCTATCCAAATCAACAAGGGGTAAGTTAGTCTCCTTATACAAGTTTCCTAAACCGACCCAGGGATCATCAAGGGGTGAGGTTTCCTAAACCAACCTATCCAAATCAACAAGGGATGAGTTATTCTTGGTATACAAGTTTCCTAAACCGACTCAGGGATCAACTAGGGGTGAGGTTTCCAAAACCGACCTAGGGGTGAGTCGGACTGGTTAGTGATAGTGTCAAATGTGAGGACGACGTCTTGTGATAGGGCGGGGTGAGGTTTCCTAAACTGACTTAAGGGTGAGTCGAATTGGCTAGTGATAGTGCCAGATGTGATGCCCCTTCTAAACTGACCCGTGGATGAGTTTTGGTCTTTGGCTTATAAGGGTGGGTAAATAGCATATACGCTAGTCTTTTGGGTAGTTGGCCAATACTCAGCCCATAACATATGGCACAAAACCTTTGCACCAAGCAAATAGCTGTAAGCATATGCTCATTCCTAAAGAATAGCTTCAATTAGTTAATAAAATTTAGAAGTAATTATCTTCATTATGGACCTGTTTGCAAGTTTTTAACAGTATTTTAGTTTTATGCTTGCCACCTGTTCCTTTTTAACGTTTGTGCTTGACAATCTAGGAAAATGGCATCGGTGCTGTCACTTGCTTGTATCTACTTTGTTGCATCTTGCGCATTGTTAAAATCAAAGATTTGTCAAACATGATTGCTGCGGCTCTTTTCTGCTCACCAAGCCTACATTCAGAATTTTGAACTAAACAGAAGGGTATATGCCTGGTCATGATTTTGTTGGTGAAAGGCAACAGCAAGATAATATTGTCAGACTGAAGTGGACACTGAAGATGCTATAAAGAAGAATAACTTTAGTTGTTCTGATTTGACTTTGAGGTAACATGTCATTGGTTATGTTGAATTTAAATGATCAGTTTCCATTACCTTTTGATTATGAGCTTAATGTGATTCATGTCTTTGGTGCCGATAGAGTAGATACCCTCATAATAATGGTATGGTTTTACATAATCATCACCAAATTAGTTATTGACAATAGTTTGGGGTTTTTTTTATCTCTTAAAGTCACAATAGCATTCTGGTTTATCAAACTTAGTCTTTACTTCTGGAAAGCTTCTATTCTTCACTGACATTGAGGATTTCAAATGCTATATCTTGTGCTTGTGTTTTTATATGGAAACTATGTGTTCTGGACTAATAGTTTTCATTTGATAGTTCTGCATACTTGTACATAATTATCGTTTCCTCTGTACTTTTTCTCTGCCTTCCAACTATAGATTTAATTCATAAAATAATATTTCTTTACTGGCTAGTTGAGTAAAAGCCAATGAATTTTGCTTCAAATTATTGGTGTGATTGATGAATGTTGTGAGAAAGTTTGAAACTACATACTCATTTGCAACAAATTCATGTTTTAAATATTAGCTTCAATATGTTTCAAATCTCATCTTCAATATTTATTGTTTTATGGATACTACTGATAAGGACCATGAGCATTAATGTAAAGGATGAGTTGTCACCTAGTCAATTATGTTCACTAGTTTTGTTAACTTCTGTTCGAAGTTTCCTTGTCAGTCAAAAGAAGAAGGTGGTGGATATGACATCCTGAATTATTGATGTGATATCATCATCTTCCAACTATCACTTTTGGTCATATTGTTTTCTATTATTTGTTCGTTTTCATATTGTTTTTTGTTAAACTTAAATTATTGTTAGGTACTTACCTACTTAAGTTTTTTGGTTTAGTGGTAACTGTATTTATTAAATGGGTTGTATTGGGTTTTGGAAAAAAACTGAGATTCTTTAATTATGCCTTTTAAGGTCCTGTCAAAGAGAAGAAGAGGGGGATGGGCGGGAAAGAATTTGGGGCTGGGTCCAGTACTATAAATTTGGGCCTTAAAAACTCTCTTGTTTTTCTGGCAAATTCTCTCTGCCTTAAGCTGAATTCTAATCTAACGGAACATAAAAAACAAAGAAACAGAAAGTTTTTCTGATCACGATTTCGAATTGGTAAAGTTTTTGTGTTTGAAGAAGAATGAATTGTAATTTAAAATTTTGCGAGCTCAATTTAGGGATTTAATCGTTCACAATCATGTGGTTTCCCTTCTGGAGATCCAGAGATCGATTCTCCTTGGAAGAACTCAGGTTTCGTTTCTTAATTTTTGATCTATTTTTATTCAGTTCTATCTTCAAAATTGAAGCCAAATTGCGGAACAAAATTTTTAATTTACTTAGAGTTTTATGGATCCTCTCTTTTTGATTTATTTGAGGTGAATTATTGTGCAGATATTTAACTGATCAGCTGCAGAAAGTTCAAATTGTTAATCAGGTTAACAAGGTGAGAAAATTTTATTTCATTACTTGTAATTTAGTCGTTTTTCTATGTTTTTAATGTGCTCAAGTTGTATTATTTTGTGAAGGATTTTGTTATCGAGGCTTTGAGATCAATTGCGGAGTTGTTAACATACGGGGACCAGCATGACTCGGCTTTTTTCGAGTGGGACTTCTCTATGGTTATTGTATATTGATGTTTATGTTTTGTTTTTTGCAATTTATGAGATGTTTATTATGTGTAGATTTTTCATGGAGAAGCAAGTCATGGGGGAGTTTGTTCGTATACTAAAAGTTAGCAGAACTGTGACTGTTTCACTTCAATTATTGCAGACAATGAGCATTATGATCCAGAATTTAAAGAATGAACATGCTATTTGTGAGTTGGTTCTTTAAGGAAGAATCTATTTACGTGTGGATACTTTAGTTCCTTCATGAATTTAATGGTTTATCATGTGGAAATTTTTGCAGATTACATGTTTAGTAATGAACATATCAATTACTTAATTACGTATTCATTTGACTTCCGCAATGAAGAGCTGTTGTCATACTACATATCTTTTTTAAGGTTTGCTTAACTAACTCTTATGTGGTGATTATACATTTTATTTGTTTACATTTTGTTTATCTTGACTGTTACAGTTTTTGGCCTTGTTATGCTGACTGTGTTGTCCACTGGCATGCATTGTGTTTATGGCAGAGCAACAAGTGGAAAGCTAAACAAGAATACAATATCTTTGCTTGTGAAGACTCAAAATGTAAGCTAAGCTATCTGCTTGTTTATGTATTGAATTTATTCCAAGATTAAATCCATTCAAAATCTGGATGAAGTTAAGGTCAGATCATATTGTTTTCTTGGTCAAAACTGTTGAGTATTTGGCTGGCATCGCTGTAATAGTTTTTTATGTTGATTTATTGGGTATCCATTCAACTGAGTAGTACAGAGAGCGGCACACTTGAACACCCATTACTTTATTGAACGATAGTATTCCAAAATTGGCATCAAAGGAGGTCGTAGGTTTCCAACTTAGCAGTGCATAGCATATTTTCTAAGACAATTCTTTGGCCACAGTGAATGATCTTGTTATATTAGTATCACATTTCTTCCTCATCGCCTTTTCTATCTTTGGTATGATTATCTAAACTTTTGTTCGTCTAGGAGGAAGTAGTTTCTTTTCCACTGTATACTGAGGCAATACGGTTTGCTTTCCATGAAGAGAACATGGTTCGCACTGCAGTACGTGCCCTAACACTTAATGTATATCATGGTCAGTTGTTTTATGTCATTTCTTTTTTACTTCTTCTTTAATATTCTTTGAAAGGTTAATTTCATCTGCCCCTGTGAATTCGCTAAGTCTTAAGTGTCCCTTGAAACTAAAAACCTCCTTGAAAAATATCAAAAACCCTATTAAATATCAAAAAATTGCTGGGGCACTTGAGACTTAATGATCTGTCAGGTTGGTGAATGAAATTAACCTTTTTCTAAAATTTAATTATACTATAGTCTATCAAATTTAATAAACTGCAATTATACTATAGTCTATCAAATTTTATTCTCTGATGCCCTTACTGTTTTTTCAGTTGGAGATGAAAGTGTCAACCGATATATCACTAGTGCTCCACATGCAGATTATTTTTCAAATTTGATTTCATTTTTTGGGAAGCAGTGCAATGGTTTAAATAAATTAGTCTCACAAAGTCTTAAGTAAGAACTAGAAGTTTTGATCTTTTATCGACAATGAACGTAATGTGCTTATCTCCTAAACAAGTTTCATTTGGTTATTGAAACAGAAACCCATCCCCAGATTCAACGTCTATAATTCTTGCTGCTGTGGATGAAATTGAGGACAATCTTTACTATTTTAGTGATATTATTTCTGCTGGAATCCCTGACGTTGGAAAGTTAATAACAGATCACATGTTGCAACTTTTGATACTTCCATTGCTGCTCCCGTCTCTACGGATAAATGCTGTTGATGTATGCTTCTTTACTCTTTCTATGCTTCCTTTCCTTTATTTTTGATCTTTAATTATCTTCATTATGGACCTGTTTGCAAGTTTTTAACAGTATTTTAGTTTATATGCTTGCCACCTGTTCCTTTTTAACGTTTGTAGCTTGACAATCTAGGAAAATGGCATTGGTGCTGTCACTTGCTTGTATCTACTTTGTTGCATCTTGCGCATTGTTAAAATCAAAGATTTGTCAAACATGATTGCTGCTGCTCTTTTCTGCTCACCAGAAGCCTACATTCAGAATTTTGAAACTAAACAGAATGGGTATATGCCTGGTCATGATTTTGTTGGTGAAAGGCAACAGCAAGATAATAATTGTCAGACTGAAGTGGACACTGAAGATGCTATAAAGAAGAATAACTTTAGTTGTTCTGATTTGACTTTGAGGTAACATGTCATTGGTTATGTTGAATTTAAATGATCAGTTTCCATTACCTTTTGATTACAAGCTTAATGTGATTCATGTCTTTGGTGCCGATAGAATAGATACCCTCATAATAATGGTATGGTTTTACATAATCATCACCAAACTAGTTATTGACAATAGTTTGGGGTTTTTTTTATCTCTTAAAGTCACAAATAGCATTCTGGTTTATCAAACTTAGTCTTTACTTCTGGAAAGCTTCTATTCTTCACTGACATTGAGGATTTCAAATGCTTATATCTTGTGCTTGTGTTTTTATGATGGAAACTATGTGTTCTGGACTAATAGTTTTCATTTGATAGTTCTGCTATACTTGTACATAATTATGTGTTTCCTCTGTACTTTTTCTTTGCCTTCCAACTATAGATTTAATTCATAAAATAATATTTCTTTTACTGGCTAGTTGAGTAAAAGCTCAATGAATTTTGCTTTAAATTATTGGTGTGATTGGATGAATGTTGTGAGAAAAGTTTGAAACTACATACTCGTTTGCAACAAATTCATGTTTTAAATATTAGCTTCAAATATGTTTCAAATCTCATCTTCAATATTTATTGTTTTATGGATACTACTGATAAGGACCATGAGCATTAATGTAAAGGATGAGTTGTCAACCTAGTCAATTATGTTCACTAGTTTTGTTAACTTCTGTTCGAAGTTTCCTTGTCAGTCAAAAGAAGAAAGGGTGGTGGATATGACATCCTGAATTATTGATGTGATATCATCATCTTCCAACTAGTCACTTTTGGTCATATTGTTTTCTATTATTTGTTCGTTTTCATATTGTTTTTTGTTAGAACTTAAATAGTATTGTTAGGTACTTACCTACAGCTTAAGCTTTTTGGTTTAGTGGTAACATGTAATTTATTAAATGGGTTGTATTGGGTTTTGGAAAAAAACTGAGATTCTTTTAATTATGCCTTTTAAGGTTCCTGTCAAAGAGAAGAAGAGGGGGATGGGCGGGGAAAGATTTGTGGAGTTACCATTTAACAATTTTAATCATTACTCAATGCTTCTTTCCCAAATAAATTCTCTGTGCTGTCCAGGTTTTAATTTTTAATTTTTTTTTAATTTTTTTTAATAATTTTTTTGGGTAAGTTATTGAAAGTAGTTTGGCATTGGTCATTTTACTTATTATCAAAGGACAATTTCTTTCTTTATACAATCTCTTTTTCTTTGTTCTTATGATTGAACAATCCAGTTATTGTGTTCCACACTTTCTTTTGTTGAGTGTTAGCCCAAATTAAAGTTTTAATAACAAGAAGTCGCTCTAGATAAATTAAGAGGTATTTAGTAATGTCAATTGAGAACTGTAATTTGTCCTGTACTCTTGCTGCCTATAAATTACAACATACATTCCCTCTATCTCTTTCCACATAGTTTAATTCAATTTTATTTCGTTGCTGTTGATTAATATTTTTATTAACTAGTGCTTTTGTCAGCTCCTCCCCTCTCTCTTATCCTATTGCTTGTTTGTATGTTGATTGTTGTCATGGAGAGTTTTGTCTTTTATTCTCTTAATACCCAACTCATTTACTACTTTTGAGTAATGACAAGAATTATATTTTCCAGTTTACTCAACTTCTCTTGAATATGGTCAATTGCTATCAGCACTTCTTTCCTTTTAGTATCTTGTATGATCTTAACATTGACATATATATTGTGTAGGGAGGCTTTGCTTTCTTATATTACTAGTGGAGATGATGTACACGTGTTGGGTTCTCTGAGTGTGCTGGCAACATTATTGCAAACAAAAGGTTATATTATTGAATTTATTCATCTTACTTCACTCCTCTCTATTTTGGTTTTCTGATTTGGTATCTGCATTCATAGAATTGGATGAATCAATGCTAGATGCCCTTGGCATTCTTCCTCAGCGGAAACAACACAAGAAACTCTTGCTAGTAAGTTGTAGTGAAGATTAATCTATTCATTTTTTTCAACATATATGATCTGAATTGATATGATATTATGTACCAGACTTATAATTTCTTTGGTTTAAAGTAGAAAAAAAAAATAATTTGGTACTTTAGTGTTCTATTAATTGTTAGCTTAATAAGCGTTGACTTTATTACTTGTTCTTGAATAGATTCGTATGAGATATTATGCATGCATTGACAAAGGAGTTGTTTTTTGATAATACTTACATTGAAATTAGAATCTAAGCCAAGGACTTATATATTTCTAATCCTATCTTGATATATGTGAATGAGTTAATTATAAGACTGAGAAGTAATCAAAGACCAGTAATTTGTTTTTATGGTTCTGAAATTGAAGCTACCTATTTTATAAGAATCCTTGCTATTAAAATCAGTAAGTTGACCTTGCCAATTCCACCTTTTTCTCTTTGTTTGGGGGGTGGGGTTATGGGTGGGTAGGTAAATTTTAGATGCTAAAGCAGCATGCTAAGAGTAATTTATTTTATTATTATTATGGAAGATGTGTGATTTTGTTGGAAGAAAAGAAACATGGAATCACAAATCTTGAAAATAGCCTATAAAGAAGGTAAGTATAAAGCAAGTCAAAATCTATTGTCTTACCAGTGGAAGTTTGCAAATTATGTAGTAATTGCAACATGCTTATAGACGAACATATTTAGAACTAAATTAGGCAATTATCCTGAAGCATGAAGAAGTATTGGTTGAAGAAACTTTCTAGTCTTGAGAAACATTTTAGTTTTGTGAAACATTTGGAATACCAAGCATTACAAACTTCAGATGCCATATTGGGTAGAAATGGCTTTGCTTTTTGGTTTATAAGGCTAGGTAAGCAACATCATCTGTTAGGCTAATCTTTTGGCAAGTGCAAAAGTAGTATCAAAGTACGCCCAGGTTTTCACATGCTGTGTAGGCTATCCAAATCAACAAGGGGTAAGTTAGTCTCCTTATACAAGTTTCCTAAACCGACCCAGGGATCAACAAGGGGTGAGGTTTCCTAAACCAACCTATCCAAATCAACAAGGGATGAGTTATTCTTGGTATACAAGTTTCCTAAACCGACCCAGGGATCAACTATGGGTTAGGTTTCCAAAACCGACCTAGGGGTGAGTCGGACTGGTTAGTGATAATGTCAGATGTGAGGACGACGTCTTGTGATAGGGCGGGGTGAGGTTTCTTAAACTGACTTAAGGGTGAGTCGAATTGGCTAGTGATAGTGCCAGATGTGATGCCCCTCCTAAACTGACCCGTGGATGAGTTTTGGTCTTGGGCTTATAAGGGTGGGTAAATAGCATATACGCTAGTCTTTTGGGTAGTTGGTCAGCACTTAGCCCGTAACATATGGCACAAAACCTTTGCAACAAGCAAATAGCTGTAAGCATATGCTCGTTCCTAAAGAATAGCTTCAATTAGTTAATAAAATTTAGAAGTAAATTAGGCTATTGTAGTTGGACAGTCTTCACAAATCATGAAGAACAGGGATGGCAAAAATGCGAGTTTGTGTTGGCATGAAATAGTTCAACCCAAGCCAAGCCAACCCATTATTCAAAAACTTTAAGAATGAGTTGGGTTGCTGAGGTGTTTGCGAGTTGCAAGTTACCCAACACCTAAATTTTAATATATATTTTCAATCTGATTTTTGTATTTTAAGTTCAACCTATTATACATACTCATATTTTGATTTCAAACCTAATATATTGCAACTAATTAAAATATGGAATTTAAATGTCTTTTTGACTTTAATCTATCACTCAATAAACACAATTACTCTCAACATTGCTAGATAAATATTAAGGTCCTTTTAGTTCAGTTTTTGTATTTTTAGTCCATCTTTTGTATTTTGAGCCCAACCTGCTAAACTACCCATAGTTTTTTTTTTCTTTTTTCTTTTTAAACATTAATTAATTTTTCAAATAATTTAGTATAAGTTGGAAGATATATAATGTTGGAAATATAAACAAGCAGATTTTATTCTATAAGGTGAAAATATACGTCTAACAATTCATACTTCCTTATATTGATATTGTTTTAGTATCATATGTAACTAATAACAAAATATATAAGTCAATCTCTCGATTTGGCAAGATTTAATTTTATATTTTGAATACAAGATTCAAATTTTATAATATTCTTTGATAATTTTGTTATGCAATTATGTACATATGATTACCCTACATAATTTTGTTCTAGGTCTATTCAGGTCCACATCTTACTTGCAACTTTAATGAAATTAGAGACGGATATTTTTGTGTAAAGGTGTTTGCTGTATGAAATTAAATTTTTATTTTTATTTTTCTTCTTTAATGAACTTAAAATAAATGTTTCTTCTGCTATTTCATCAGCTTCTCATGTTGATTGCTTATTTAATTGATACGTAATTCTTTTTTGTTCTTTTTGAATCTTACAGGAAGCTTTGGTTGGTGAGGTCTCTGGTGAAGAGCAACTTTTTTCATCAGAAAGTAACATGCTAAGGGATGGTATTGATAGTGAACTTGATGGCTATTTACTTAAGATGAAGGTATTATTGTTACATGCTTTTCCACGCTGTCTTTCTCTCCCTCTCTCTTTATTTGCAATATTGTCTGTGTCCTTTGCAATCACCAATGCAATTCTATTCCTTCAAATCTGTTATTGTCACAATTAATCGTCTATGTTGAAGTTGTCATTACCAAGAGATGTAGGACAAGTATACTAATGTTATATAACATCTTTACTTCCTGAATTTGTTTAATATTTATTCATCTTTTTTCCCCTCCTTAGAAACACAATTGGACTCCTGAGTTTCATTTGAAATATTTTTGAGTTATTTGCAGATACAAGTTTATTAATGTAGGACAAGCTTGAGTTATTTTAATTTTCTTGTTTTCAGTCACGATTATGTTCCTATTTTAATTAGGTTTCATAATTTAGGAAAAATTGATTTAATTAAGTCTGGGTTTCCTATTGATTTCTTATTAGATTTACTTTTCTAGTTAGGGATTTTAGTTCAACTAGGAATTTTATTTACCTTATTCTAGTGGTATTAGTAATAGTCTACTATAAAAGGAGTCATTATGTTACGAATTATTCATGTTTTATCAATCATTTTTAAGGTTTCCTTTGGGATTTCTTTTTGTTGTGGATTCAACATCCTAAGAAAGCTATGTGATAGCTTTTCTTTTATTTGTTTTCCGTTTCCTCTTTGTCATATGCATTATTGGTGAAGTTTTTTGCTAGTTATAAGGATGGGCTTGTCTTAATTTCATTGTTATAACCATGGAAACGTGTAATAGGGAAGTGTATCTGTTTAACTGTGGTTAATGAAGTTCAAGGCCTTAATTCTCCATGAACTATCAAATGTTGCAGTTTTCTAGGTAGTTTTAGTTTTAAAATTTCACAAATTTCAGCACATTCTCTCCTTGTGTACATTTAGCTTGTTCTGATTTTATGTTTTTTTTTTTTTGCTTGTTTTTAAGAGATGCCTGCCATATATTTTATAAGAATTCTTTTCTTGAAAGTATATCATACGTTATACTTCTTCTGTAACTAACAGGAACAATATGGAGTATTACATTCTTCTCTGAATTTGGGAACAAGCCCTCGTGTAAATAGACAACAGGTATGTTACATGCATGAGTTGAAACACCATTTATGAAGATGAAGTGTGGTGAAATGAAATCATAGCTACTTACTTATTTGGCAAATTTCATTAATATGATGAAAATTGAAACTACGGAAGTTTACATTATATAAACTGAAACTGCAGGAGTTGCCAGTGATTTTACCCACTGATTTATAAACATATTGAAAAATTTTGTTCAGTTTGTAATCAGCAATTAATTATTGTCATGGAATATGTTCTAGGTGCTTGATGCATTGGTTAGTCTTTTTTGCCGCTCAAATATATCAGCAGAAACACTGTGGGATGGTGGTTGGCTATTGCGCCAGTTGCTCCCTTATAGTGAGGCGGAGTTCAACAGCCATCATCTAAAATTGCTGAAGGTAAGTTGGGAGCATAAAATAGATATTTGGAGTCGCACAGCATTTAAAGTATCGATATTCTGCTAGTTTAAAATATAACAATTAAACTTCTGTTGACAGTTTAACTGAAATGAATTACAAGCAGTTATTAGAGAATATGTCTGAACTATAATTTATTGCATACTGAACTGTATACTATTGCATTGGCAATTTTTGGGAGATACTGCTATTGCAGTAATACACATAATGTACTCTGTTTGAAGTGACTTGAATTGATGCCCTATTGGATCTGTTCTGTTCTATTATGTTTTTCTGAGGGATGCCTTTGTGAGGAGAACTTTAACTGGATATAACTGCAAATACCCTAAAGTCTGAGTTGCTACAAGAAGAATCACCCCAAGGAGGGCTTACATCTTGCTTTTATTGTTTTGGGACTTATTAGTTTGATTGTTCTTTCGTTTACTGAGAACATTCACTTTAAAGGCCTTCTCATATTATTACCTCACAGAAATTTGTAACAACAAAGAAACTTCTCACAATGAATATGACAAAGTGTATATTCTTTGTATTGAAATAATAATGAGTCCATCTATAACTGGTTGAATTTTGACGTTATCTCTTAGCTTAGGCTTATATGCCACTACTATCAGGTGTTTCACTGGTTTGCCTTGGATAAGAGTGGTATCATTGCAATAATTTAAAGTAGTTTTTTCTGTTCTTTTCTTGTGGTTTTTTTAGTTTGACTGTTCTTACCTGGAAATGGTGAACTTTACTTTTCTTTATATGACTCTTCTTTGATTAATTTTTATGGTATATATTTTGTAAAATCAGTTTGCAATATATGTCACTGACACAGTAGACTTCTTGTGCACAGGATTCATACAAGAATTGCACTAGTGGTCTTCTAAAGGAGATTAGAGGTGCCTGGTCTGATCTAATTATGACAGTGATTTGTAATGAGTGGAAAAAGTGCAAAAGAGGTACTTAATGAAACCTTGAAATGCTTTGAATGATGAGTGTGGGTTTCAAATGCTTTTCTAATGTTCTTGACAAATCAATTTTGCAGTGATTGAAGCTTCATCTCCTCAGAAAGAACCCAAATGCATACTTATGCCATCACAGAAGTCTTCTTTTGAAGGTAGAATTGGACAACTGTTTGTAAATTAATGGTCTCAATTTGTGGATCTTGAAATATAACTTTTTTTCTTCTGTGGTTATTTATGTGGTTCGGATTGTTAAAGCCAAAATTCATTTAGCATATCTGTTGCACATACAGATAATATTCCTGGTGAATCATCTTTTTCTGCTGGTGAAAGACTCTGCGAGTTGGTGAAGGTTTGTGTCTCATTTTTGCTTAAATGGAAGTGCAAGACATTATTTCATATACTTTTTGACTGTAAATGCTTAGAGTTAGAAATTTGCAGTTCTCTCCCTCATGCTAACTCCGACCGTGCCTCCTCTTTATCCCTTTACCCTCCCCATTATCCCATAGATTTCACTGTTAAATTTGTTGTGATTCGGTAGATAAATTACAATAGTTCACCCTTACTTTTTTAATTTTCCATGATAGTCTTCTGTGAACATTATTCATTAAATTCTATTAGCACTTGTTGTTTGTGTGCATGGTTTCATTTGTTAATACTTCTTACCTTTTCTCTTTTAGGTGTTTGTACTTCTTCTTCAACTTCAAATTTTCTCCCTTGGTAGGGCTTTGCCTGACCAACCTCCTATTTATCCTCCATTTGATGTCCCCGAAAATTCTCGTGCAAGAAATGCTGGTGTAGATATTTCGGGTCCAAAGCCAGGCACAGAATTAAAAATTGGTTAGTTTTCTAACTGACTGTATAATATACATTTATATGTATACACTTGCACACATACACATACACACACGCATGCACACATATATATACATTTGGGTCCAGACAATAAGCTACAGACTTGAAGCGTGAACCTCTCTCCGTGTTTTTTTTCAGTTAACTTTAGCTTTAGGTAGACTTGTGCTAATAATAGATTTACTTTTGCATTCAACATAGTGTTGCAATTGCAGAAGAGAGGTCTGCATTTAGATCCACACTCGAAAAGGACGATATATATGTCTTTACAGTTTTTACGTAAATTATTACACAAGTTTTGGCTTAATAGATAACAACACTTTGAATAGTTGGGATTAAATTTGACTCGTTACATTTTTCTAGGGTACATTAATTATGGCTAGGGTACATTAATTATGGATATTAGAGGTGATCTGAGCCTTGTAAATGCATCAATCTAATATGATAATTACTTACCTATTTGTGTATGTGATGCAATTGATTATTATACATTTATAGAATTTTTAACTTCTCGTAGTTATTTTTTTGTTCCAAGAGTTACACTGCATTTCATGGTAAAATCACTCTGGTCACTTCCATATGCAGTTGATGCTGTGCCTTGTAGGATTGCATTTGAGAAGGGTAGAGAACGTCATTTTTTCTTTCTAGCAATCTCTATGGGCACGTCTGGGTGGGTTGTCCTTGCAGAAGAAACACCTTTGAAGCAGCAGTTCGGGATTGTTCGTGTAGCTGCACCTTTGGCTGGCTCCAATGTATGCATTTTTCTTTCTTTTCATCCCTGTTAGTTTATGTACTATCTATGGAGCATAGAAATCTTTTAGCTTGAAAAATAACTTCCCAATCATTCATCTTACTTAATCCAGTCATTAAGATCTAAAGTACAATATGTAAGAGTTATTGTTTTCAATTCTATAAGAAAATGTGTCATTTTTATTTCATAAGTCCTGACACACATTTATATTGAAATTGAGAATCATTTAAGTTCATTTAGTCTAATCGCTACCAATTGTGTTATAATTGGTGCAGAAAGAGAAGGTGTATGTTGATCATGTATCTCTGTGTGAGTTTGTTCATGCAAGAAAGCTAGCATTACGTTGTGCTTGGATTCCATTGTTTAACAGTACATGCAGAGAGTTTAGTAGCATGATGTTCAAAGACTCCTAATTTCCAGGGAGAGATCCTAATAATCTGAGTGGGATAGCTTCCCCCATTAGTTTTAGAGAACAGGTGGGGTGACTTGAACATATTTAAGGATTAAAAGAAAAGATATATATTGAGAGGGAAATTGAAATATCGAAACATGTGAATCAACATGACCTTGTTGGTTGTGCTTCGTAGAAAGCAAAAGATAGAGGATGCGAGGGAGCTTGTTGGTTGTGCTGTTTTACTAGCCAATATCCAATGCAACAGTTCTCCGATTCTTAGATTGTTAAAATATTTAAGCCATGAAAATGTTTGACTGTCATAGTGATCTACTGATTAAAAACTGTAGGAAAACAGTAAGTTCTATTAATTTTATACTGTTTGATGGATATTGTGGTAACTCCTTTTGCTCACTTCTTTGGTGTGTGAATTTTAACTCATCAGAATGGTAATAATGTTTCAAGTGTCTAATATTTCTGTTGTCTTTCTTCCTCCAGCCTAGAATTGATGAGAAGCATACAAGATGGCTACACATGCGGATCCGTCCATCTATTTTACCCTTTATGGATCCTGCTACATCTGTTAAAGTGAAAACAAAAGCTTTACTTGATGGGAGATGGACCCTAGCATTCAGGGATGAAGAATCTTGCAAATCTGCTTGTTCTATGATATTGGATGAGTTGAATCGACAAAGCAATGAATTAGAGAGAAGACTAAGACCATTAATAGACCTCGAAAGAGCTTTAGATTCCCTTGATATTTTTCCAGTGTCATCGGAGGCTTCCTCTTCCAGTATAAAAGCTTCTAATTCCTGGTAACTTGCTAACAGGTTTGAGTTTTGCGGCTAGTAGCTTGTTTAATGCTTGGGGTGGAATGTATTTTGTTTTCACCCTTTTGTATATGTTTTAAGAGGCAATCTTAGATAATACCTAGAATTGTATATTAGCTCCATTCATATTTCATTGTATACTAGCTCTTCTTGCCCTGCCATGGTCTGTAATTTATATCGGCCAATTCCATTCTTTAGCTATTTCTAACCTAGGCTTTTTTATTTTTACCCAATTTTGTAAGTTTTGTAACATCACTGTATATTTGAGGCAATCCCATTAGTAAAAGTTTTTGTGCATTTTTGTTTCATCCTTCTCCATGGGGGCTTATTACTGTACTCACTTGGGTTGAGTTAAGATCGCATTTAAGAGTCTGTTTGATCGGTTGGTCAGACACACAATGAATGAACGCATTGAATACTTTTCTTAAAGGATTGAATTGCAAGGTCATGCTAGATCCTAGATAGCCTAGTTAGTAAATTTGTGTATTATTTGCGAATTTTCATATTTTATCAGTTCAGTCCTATTATTCGTGAATTATATGCCTCAGATGTTTTATTCGCGAATTATTTCCGTATTATTTTCATATCTAAATGTTTGTCGAATTTTTACAAACGTATTTTTTACTATTTGTCATATCATATCCGTAAAATTCTTCTACTCGTATATTTGAAATGCTATATTGATTTTAACTAGGTGGTCTATGAAAGTACTAAAACTAGTATTGATATTATCGTATTTTTCAAAACGTATTATTGACAATGTGTTGTATAAAACCTGTATATACTCATACCATATTTTTTCCGCATTCGAATTTTTACAAACGTATTTTTCACCATTTGTCATATCATATCCGTAAAATTTTCGTACCCTTGTTTTTGCTGTACCGGTATTTACTATCTAGCAGCTAGAGTATCAATTTTGATGGCATTTGATGGGATATCTCAGTTCTCACCCTTGATTTCAATCGAAGTTATAAAAATTAAAAAGAAAACCGGTATTGCAACCCATGCATTTTCCCATATTTGTAACCCGACGCCCATCTTACCTAACCCAATTTTGGGCCTGAAATCAAATCCAATTTCAGTTCACGATCTCATTCTTAATTTTTAGAGGGGAAGTGATTTTTAGCCTCATCAAACTGATCAGTATTCTCTATTTTTAAATGTTTTCTTTTGGACAAGTTTAATCTAAATGAAAATTACTATAAATAACATTCATACTCTATTTTATATTTTTGGTTTAATTTTTACATAAATCCTAAGTTCCGATTACTATAAGTAATCATGCTTGATATGCTATTAAAGAAAGATAAAACCTGAATTTTGTCGTTGAATCCATCTTAGATGATTTTGTATTGGCTTTAAGTTGATCATTGTGTTACTCATTTTGTCTCCTGACATAGGTTTGGCTCTAACTGTGTGATTTTCTGGCAGATTACGTCTTCTCCTAGTAACGAGGACCATTTTTATCACCTCGGCTCTAATAAGCCTTATTGGACAACCTATCCTCCCACATTATAACCTACCAAAATGCCCCATTAAACAATTTGGGCTCGCCGGTCTCTCAAGGAGGGTTAAGAAAATAAATCTTAATACGAGACCCATTATACCTTGTTAAAGTGTGAGAAGCCTTGGAATCACTTCGGCCTTTGTGGGCGACCTTGACTAAAGTGGGCAACAACAAGGGTGTAAATAAAAATCTTAATTAAGTTTGAAATTAGGGAAAAAGGGAAGTGAATAGTAAGTTTCAAATTTGAAATTGGGAATAAGGAATGTAAACAAAACCCTAATTAAGTTTGTAATGTTTGAAATTGGGGAAAACAACTAATTAAGCATGACTATTTTAGGTATTAAAATGGGACTTATATATATATATATATATATTTTAAATAAAAATAAAAAAGAGGTGTATTTAACAATGGGGGATACTGATAAATTAGATGAGAGCTAAAAAACACTTTCATTTTTAGAGTGATGTCTCATTAAAATCTAAATCTCTTTATAAGCCCAAATCATAATTAATATCATTTTAAAAGTTGAATTATAAATCTTATATTTAATTCTGAAATTTCCCTTCAGTAATATTTTTCCTCTTATTTTTTTTTTCTGTTAACCCCACCATCCGTATTTTATTCTCTCGAGTTAAATTTTTGTTTCCGTTTTCATTTCTTAATTAAGAAAATAAAACTCTTTTATGGCATATCAATTACCATGGGATGAATGTTGAAACAATTTTTATTTTTCATCATTCTCCTATCAATAAAAAAAATTAAACAATAGTTTATACAGGGTTAAACGAATTTCTTAAATCAAACCTTATGTAAGAACAGTTAATGAGAATATTTATTACTATTTTATTTACATTTTTGATTCCATCTTTCATCTTTTTTTTTTTTTTTTTTTTTTTTTTTTTTTTTTTTTTTTTTTTTTAAAGAACTTGACAAAATAATTTCTGTACAAAGAATTTCAAACTACCATTTTTTTTTTTAAAAAAAATAAAGAGTTTATTTGTAGAGAAAAAGACGGTTTTTAATATATGTGGTGTACTAAAATAATAAATGTCATATATATATATATTCTCTATAGTGATATTTTATGTACGTAGTCATAAAAAATTCTAGTATTAACTTGGATTAGTTATAAATAAGAATAACTTCTACATTATAATAAATTATAATTTTTCAAGGTCTCATCTTAAGGAATTTGTTTCCATATAATAATAATTATTTGTATATTGCAAAAAAAAAAAAAAAAAAAAATGATGTTTTACAATAAAAGTTTAAGATGAAATAAAATATTTATTTAAAGTTGTTTGAGATAATGATTTGTGCTTTAGAGTTGTTATCACATCTTTGAACTTGTGAATATATAATAACTCGTTAGCACGAACATCTTCTTATTGAAGCCAAAATATTTCTAGGTTCTTAAGCATGTTTATAACTTCTTGATAGGAAACTTTTTTATATTTATTGTGATACCTAAAGACCATGAGTATCTTCTAACCACTTCACAAGATGTTTTTGCTTTCAGTTAAGGTTTGATTCTTTTATTTTGAACAACTCAACACAAATATTTTCGATCAATTGAGTTCGTGTATTAACATTGTGTGGCATGGTTGATTTGTTAGTGGAAGAAGAAAACATATAATTTGAATTGGTTGAAGATTGCATGAGTTAGTGTTATAGTGCAATGTATTTATAGAATTTATATTGAGAGAAATATTAAAGAGAATACAAAATTTTAGACTTTAAGATGACTTTGCATATTCCCAACACTATACTAGTTTTTTGAAACTATGTTTATCTTTTTTATCAATATTTATACCTTAGATTTAACATACTACATTAATTAATTATTATGTAGTGCATACTTTACTTTTATACTACTTGCATTAAGGATAACTAAGAGTCTGTTTGGTAGATTATTTGAAAAATGTTATTCTGAAAAACTATTTTAAGTTGAGTTGAGTTAAATTAAATCGAATAGAATAATATTTTGAGAATGTGTTTAGTTAGAGGTGGAAAAGCAACCCGCCCGCCCCCTCGACCCTACCCGACTCGCGGCAGGTTAAGCAAAGTGGCGGGTCGGTCCTGACCCGCTCGCCAACATTGGCAGGCCGAAATTGGCTAGCCCAACTTGGACCGCCAACTCTAACTCGCCGGGTTAGGCCGCGGGTTGGGCTGAGTTAACCCTCTTTTTGATTTTTTGATTTTGTTTTGTTTTGTTTTGTTTAAGTTTAAATGTTTAATTAACTTTTCAAATAAATAATTAACAATTTATAAATGAATAAATGTAATTGTTTTTAGTTAACTTCTTTTCAAATATCAATAATTAAATTAATTTTTTTTTTTTTAACACTCCAAATATTAATTCAATTTTAATACATTAAAATTGTAATATAAGAAAAATTAAATTTATTCATTTATTAAAAAATAAAATAAGAAATTACAATAATTATTGCCTCGTTAAAAACCTCACCAAGAAAAACCCAATGAGACAAAAACTTGGTAAGGAAAAAAGAGTGCAATAATTGATAATTAATTTACAAATTACAATTTACAAAACAACTAATTTTGGGGCTCACTAGANCTTTTTTTTTTTTTTTTTTTTTTTTAAACATGACAAAATAATTTCTGTACAAAGAATTTCAAACTACCATTTTTTTTTTTTTTAAATAAAGAGTTTATTTATAGAGAAAAAGATTTTTTTAATATATGTGGTGTACTAAAATAATAAATGTCCTTCTTGATATCTTTATATATATATATATAATATAACTTTTCTATAGTAATACTTTATGTAGGAATAACCTTTACGTAGTCATAAAAAATTCTACTCTTAACTTGGATTAGTTATAAATAAGAATAACTTCTACATTATAATACATTATAATTTTTCAAGGTCTCATCTAAGGAATTTATTTCCATATAATAATAATTATTTGTATATTGAAAAAAAAAAATGCTGTTTTACAATAAAAGTTTAAGATGAAATAAAATATTTATTTAAAGTTGTTTGAGATAATGATTTGTGCCTTAGAGTTATTATCACATCTTTGAACTTGTGAATATATAATAACTCGTTAGCACAAACATCTTCTTATTGAAGCCAAAATATTTCTAAGTTGTTAAGCATGTTTAGAGCTTCTTAATAGAAAACTTTTTTATATTTCTCTATTATCATCCTTAGGATTGTGATACCTAAAGACCATGAGTATCTTCTAACCACTTCACAAGATCTTTTTGCTTTTAGTTATGGTTTGATTCTTTCATTTTGAACAACTCAACACAAATATTTTCGGTTAATTGAGTTCGTGTATTAACTTTGTGTGGCATGGTTGATTTGTTAGAGGAAGAAGAAAACATATAATTTGAATTGGTTGAAGATTGCATGAGTTGTGTTATAGTGCAATGTATTTATAGAATTTATATTGAGAGAAATATTAAAGAGAATACAAAATTTTAGGCTCCGTTTGGTTCACTTTTTTGCATTTTTTAGAAAAGTTTTTCGAAAAAAGTTAAAAAAAGTTGAATTGGGCGGGTATTATGATGTAGAATTTGAAAATTAATAAAAATACCCCCTATGTTTGTTTATTTACAAAACACCCCTATAATAAAACTTTGAAAGTTAACAAAAACACCCCCAACCCACCCATTGAATAATCACAGTCGGCCACCACCGCCGGAGGGTGGCCGGAGTCGCCATATCGGCGCATGACCAACTGGATCTTGTCGGTCGTACGTCGATATGGCCTTTGTCGGCCAGATCCACGGTAGATCTGGTCGGCCAGATCTACTGCTAGATCT